GGCAGCCAGGGACAAAACTCAATATTTGACTGTATGGTTAAGAAATGGGGAATTGGGTGTATGAAATATGTTGTTAAGTGGCAAAAAGTAAACGGGTTTCCCGGGAAGGGATCGCTGAGTGTTAACCAGTTAAAGAAAGTAGAGAAACAGTTGCGGGAGGAGGAAGTGAAATTATTGAAATAAGGGAAAGTTAACACTGTAGATTTGCGTAGGGTAAGCGATGAGAAGGAATGTTTGAAAATGTGGATGATGGAAGCAGAAAGGAGAGAAAAGAAAGCAGCTCTGACAGAGTTGCCTAGAGAAGTGCATGGAAGGGAAGCTGATGCAGAATCTGCCTCAGCGCCTCTTCCGCCTCCGTATAACATGGAGAACAAAACATAATTTCCCTGTTCACACGCTGCGCCAAAAATCGGTCCACCCCGAGGATCGGGTCCCCCGACACAAACAGAGTAACATAGTGTACGCTGTTAAGTGCCAGAAGGATTGCCAGGATTTATACATCGGGGAAACCAAACAACCTCTGGCGAAGCGGATGGCACAACACAGAAGAGCTACCTCGTCAGGCCAGGACTCTGCAGTCTATTTACACCTACAGGCCAGTGGACACTCTTTCAATGATGAGGATGTGCACATCCTGAACAGGGAGGAGGTTTGAGCGCAGGAGGCCATTTACGTGAAAAGGGAAAGACCATCTCTGAATCGAGGAGGGGGCCTAAGGGTACATCTGTCACCATCTTACAATGCTGTGATTGCAGTCATTCCCCAACTCTCTGTGAATGGGACTCATGGCCATTGATCAGTGGTCTTTGATCAGTGGGTTTTGGTCAGTGGTTGTTGATCAATGGTCATGAGAATTTGCATAATTATGATTAAAGAACTGACCTCCCAGCCCATTGTTCCTTCAGGGGGCTGGTTTCAGTCATTATGCAAATGTACTGTTTATAAGATTGGGGAAACCTGCAGTCAGCTGAGACCGAGAAGTCACTTGGATGAGTGACGAAACGTTTCTCCCACAAAACGCTACGTCCAGATGAACAGATTCAACTTTTGGAGATTCCCCCTCCCTAAACAACTAAATGCCATGTTGCCATATCATTTTTTGATTGGTCGACATGGTACATTTTTCGACCAGTAGGAAAGGGTGGGTTTTTTTGTTGTCCTTTTTGCTCACAGGCGGAGAGTGCTTTCAAGCGCTTTCCTTATAAAACACAGTTTTTACCGTTTCTTCCCGCTGTAAATATAAACAACGATAGTATCCAGGAAGAAATCCAAACATTGCATATATTTTTATTATAACTCTGGTTTTACGAGGCCTATCAACACAATTTAAAAACTGGTATAAAGTCCACACTTTTCCCGTCAATTGTTCCTTCTGTCCTGCTCACATCTCCAATGGCTGTAAACGTTGTCAATTAACGTGGCTTCACTCCACATCAGCCACGCCACTTTGATAGCTAAAACACCAGTGTGTGTGACAGGATGCTATCTTAGCCTGTCAATGACGTTGATTAGCTGCGTATATACGAATGTGAATCGCATTATTGGCTGGACTATGGGATAAGGTGGCATCGTTCTAATGCCATATGGGAGCAGCCAGTCACTTACTGACTAACACTGCAAAACAGAATTGTTAAAGTATTTATTTTAATTTCAATTCAGGTTAGATTTTTTTTGTGCGCAACGCAGATTTTTTTTTTGCGCAGAGACCATGCCAGCAGTGCGCAATTGCACACGCGCGCAGCTAACAGGGAACATTGGTCATGTGTATTATGTTTAGTTCTGCTTCCTCTTTCTTGCCAGTCTGATTATGTTACTCAAGCGTGAAACTGCATATCAAGATGCTGAGTTCACCCTGTCGCCAGCATCTGATCAGTTACAAATATAGATAATTTTATTAATTTATTAATACATGGGAGAATCTGGTGGTTTATAATCGAATATTTCATTGAATTAATGTTTAAAAGACAGTCTTGTTTTTTATTTGTTCCACAGCTTTAGAGAAGCTTGTCTCCTTTTCTTTGTGTTTGCACTCCTTGTCCCTAAAACAAAACATACATTTTTTTTCCCTGTGCGCATTCCTTTGAAGAAACTTTCCTTGCAGTGGTGAGGTAATCAGGGCTCATGATGGAATTTCTGTGGAATGATTTGAACCTGTGGAATAACCCTGTGGTACCGGCACTTTCATAATACTAATCTTGTGTTTGGATTATTGATTCACGTTCGTGTTTTAAATAAACACCTAAATAAACCTTTAGTACTAGAAATAGTATAAGTTCTGCCTGCCTCAGTGGTCCGTTGACAGCAAGTTTTTATTATAATTTTATTTCAGATGAAATAAGAAATGAACAGCCTAGGCAAAAAAATGCCTTTAGGGTTTAATGAAAGTATTAAAAGTATCAAAAGAATAATGATGATATAAGATTTAATAAGATTTAAACTCTTAATACTGATCAAATATATACCTAACATATTTACTGTATAATCTGCATTATACAAGTAGAAAATTATATTCAAAATCTTATTTTGAAGGGCAGTTGTGGAGCACTTGCAATTGGCCAAAATCCAGGACAGCCCAGTGGCTTTGAAAACTCAAATGAGCAGAGTCTTCACAAGTACTGCTTTTACAATGAATTCTGTTTTTCATATTACTATTTTAACTTTTATCCTTGTCAAGACTACTATTCATCTGGAGTATTGTCCACCTCATTGCCAGTGTGAGTGGGAAATCCACAGTGTGTCGTGCTTTGGAGTTGAGGTTATTCCTGTTTTCCATTCCAGCACAAAGGAAGTGTAAGTAACCACAGTCCTTAACCGCTGATTTCTGTGACTGTTGTGGTTAGACTGAAATGCCTTCAATTTCTCTTTTAGATGGCTTCTGGGGACAAGAATGTATTCTATTCCTGAGAATGCATTTGAAAACTTGGCCAATATTTCACAAATGTAAGATACTTTCTACAAAACTATCCTCTTTCTTTCAATTTAGTAGATTACTACTCAACAAAGTAAATAAACAATATTGACAGTAAACTAGTGCTTAACCAATTACCTTCATGATCCTCTATTGCAAGTACTGACTGAAGACAAAAATTACAGTTATTGTAATAAAAATAAACCTCTTATTCTATATTATATTTTATATGAGACTTAAAGGCACTGTTATCTCTTAGTATATGTTTCCTATATGCTTAATAAAAATGAGACTTTCAACAAAACTTTTAACTATTCTAACTATTAACATTACGGGCATTTTTTTCCTTCCCCTCAAGTAAAAGTTAAAGCAGAACTGAAGTATATACTGCCCTGGGTCTTATAGATGACATGATGGTTGATGCAGAAATGAAAATCAGTGTATGTTGCTAATGCAGAGCTGATTGAGGTGGAATGTATGGTTCAGAAGGGGTAGAGTATTCATAGCTCACTGGTCTGGTTAAACGCAGAGAGCTCTACTTTTGGTAGAAGGAGTTTACAAAGTATGTAGCCTGTGGACTACTCTTGTTTGTTTTATTTTTGGTCCTCTAGTCAGAGAAATGTATTAACCAGCTATTGTGGTTTGAGCAGCCTTTTAATAGAATAGAATAGAATAGAATAGAATAGAATAATCCTTTAATTGTCCCACAAGAGGAAATTTGGTTGTAACAGCAGCAAGAAAAACACATATACAAACAAACAGTATACAGGACACAGAACAGAAACATACACATTTTTACATATTTACATCAAGGACAATAGTTACCAAAAACAGAGTACTGCACAGTTATTAGTACTGTACCGAATATGTGTTAAAAATGGCATCTAGTGGAACAGGTTATATGTTCAACAACTTACCACTGTGATCAAAAAAAGAGACATCCTTGTCACACTGCAAACTCTGATTTAAATTCAAAATACCTTACTAAGGTATTTTGTCATTAAACACACAGTCATAAAGAGCAAATAAAAATGAAATGATTTCGTAAAGACCACAAGAATGGCCAGATTGAAGTAACATCTTCTGTTGTGCCTTGCTCTTCTGGACATTTTCATTTCTAAAATGTAGTCTTTCATTTCATAACAACACTGTCAGGTTTAGTAATAACAGCTTCATTTGTGTAGCACATTTCAAAAAACAGAAAACAAAGTGCATCACGGTTTTGATAAAAACCACACATTAAAGATTAGGTTAAAACATATTGACTTATGGATTCATAAATAGACACAAAATCATCCATACAACCATAGATTCATTCAACTCGAACCTCAGTTTTTGCCGGAATCAGATAAAAGACATTTGAATACATGCAATTGGTTAATTTCAATTAGATTAAATTTAATTAATGCAGTGCCAAATCACAAGAACAGTTACCTCAGGTTGCTTTATTACTACAGTAGAGAAAAAATCTCAACAATCAAATAACCCCCTGAGCCCGTACTTGGTCACGGAGGGAAGGAAAAGCTCAGTTTTAGCAGGAAGAAACCTCTGGAAGAACAAGGCTCAGGGAGAGCCAGCCATTTTCTGTGACTAAAAGAGGAAAGCAATTTATTAAAAGCATACCCTTGTTTCTGTCTGAAGTTGTCAACACTATCACTCTTCAGTGATTGCCTGTGTATTATATGCAGTGTGCATATAATACACAGGACGACCTAACTCGAAATAAACTCAAGAATGGTAGAAACTAGACTAAGAAACATAGGTCGCACAGAGAATAAAAATGAATGAATAAACAACATTCAAAAAACCCATGAACACAAAACACTTTAGTCAGTGACGCAGGTACCCTGACAGCCTTTAAGTCTGTAAGACATGCCTGTAGCTTAACTAATTGGTTTCTGTTATCTGCCTTCATGCATAAATAAAGCTGGTATTATCTGCATAGCAGTGAAAATGTATGGTATGTCATCTAATAATATTATCAAAGGAAAGCATGTCTTATTTAAATTGAACTGGTTACTGCATAGAACCCCCTGGAACTTAGCAAATTTTGTGTGGTGAGCAGAGATGGGCAGTAACGCGTAATCCGATTACTTTTTTCAAGCAACGAGTAAAGTAAGGGATTACTATTGCAAAAACAGTAATTAGATTACCGTTACTTTCCCGTAGGAACGCTGCGTTACTGCGTTACTAAAACCGTGATTTTTTTTGCGAGAATGTCTCCTGACAGTGACGTAAAGCAAGTGCGACGTTCGTGACAACATCTGTGTGCAGATCAACAATGGATAATATATCAAGTGCATGAGAGAGTATGAGCATGCAGCATTTAAAGTGTGGAAGTACTGACCTTACTTTAAGTTTGATTCCATAAAAAGTGACAAAAACATTAGTGTCCGTTGTGCGTGGGAAGAAAACTCCTTTTTACAGCGAAAAAACCCCCCAAGCAAGCACCGAGTGCGCAACGACGTAATGGGAAATTCACAGAGAAACTCGTGGATTCTTCAACTGACTGCTGTGGCACACCTGCACCAGGGTAAACCTCCGCCTACCACACTCCTGCTTTACAGGTGAAAATAGAGCAAAAGGACCGCTAGTCTTTGATTTTATTAATTTTCTGCTGTGTTTTACTTGCATCTATTTGAAAGAGTGAGTGTAAACACACACAAAAAAAAGAATTATGTGCAGGAATGTGCAAAAAATAGGTTTAAATATTAAACAAATTTCTTCCAGTCAGAGAATGTTGCATATAATTAAATTTTTGCTTGATGCATAAAGTTAAAAGATTAAAACTAATAAAACAAGTTTTAAAAAGGGACCTTTCCATTTGATTACATTTTGTATGATGGATTATGCAAAAAAAGTAGAATTGGGCTGAAAGATCTATCGCTTTATCACCTATTCAGGTTGTAAATCGTGTTTTTAAAAAGTAACTACGTAACTAAGTAATTAATTACTTTTGAAAATAAGTAATCAGTAAAGTAATGGGATTACTTTTGGGGGGAAGTAATCAGTAATTAGTTACTGATTACTTTTTTCAAGTAACTTGACCACCACTGGTGGTGAGGGGTATCAGGTGCTGTACTAAGGTGTAGCAGGACAAGCAAACGATGAGTCCACTGTCAGAGAACATTAGTAACCTTCACTAGTGCTGTTTCTGTGTTATGATAAACTCTAAATCCTGACTGAAACTCTTCAAATAACCCATTCTTCTGGGAATTATACTGTGCTGTTTTACAACTGTTCTTTCAAGAATGTTTAAAATAAAAAGAAGGTTAGAAATCAGCCTATGATTAGTTAAGATAGCTGAATAGTAATGTATTTTAAGTAAAATACATGCGTCTGGGAAGGGATCTCAGTTATGAGATCCCTTCCCAGACGCCTTAACGCCCACTCACATCCTGGGCCATCTGATCTCAGGAATTCGCATGATAAGGTGGGGCCAGGTTTCACAATGAACTCACCCGAAACTCTGGCTGATTGGGACCCACACCCAGTTTCACACCTTGGCTCAGGTGATTAGAGGATCATCAGGGGGTCCTTTTGTCCCTCTGTAGGGGGATACTCCCACTAGGTTTATATCTGGGACTCTCCACCATTTGACCTTAGAACTGAAGAAGCTTCTCGGATGAGAGGTGAAACGTCTTCAAGTAACTTAAAGAAGTCCAGACGCTTTTCTTTGCAAGGTCCTTTGACTACGATGACCTGGATGACTGAGAACCTTCACAGACATATTTTAAGTAAAGGTTAATATGTTGCTAGGAGGTTGCAGTAGAGCTGCAGTGGTGAGTTTTAAGTTTTGGAGAACAAGCCATTTATTGTCTTGTCAATAAATGGCTTCGGCTCATACATCAGAGTTGTGAGTTTCTAGAGCTTTATTATCAGCTATATATATTTTTTTCATTCTTATTCATAGTTGTGCTTCTTATCCATCCAGGATCTGTATCTAATAATGTTCTTATCAGAAGATATCAAATTTGATTCAGTGACCATCATTTTTGTCTTTAAAAGTTGTTCAGACAATTAACAGTATTTCTCTCTCTATTTCTTTCTAAATCTCTCAATCTTCAAATCAGAAGTTGTACTTTGTTTGTGTGTTTTTCAGATACATATCTGATGACAGTACATTAAGATATCTTGAAAGGCATTCTTTCTACAACCTGTCCAGGGTCACACACATGTATGTAAATTTCATGCACAAAAATTTAACATGTAATTGAAATTAATCATCAAATGAATGGATTTATGCTTCAGTAAATACAAATAAGTCTTGTATCATGTTTCCTCTGTCCTGCAGTAGTACTGGCAAAATGATTTTCAAAGACCTGGCTTTTTTTAATGTTGGAGATGGGTTGGTTAGATGTAAAATATAATTATACAGTAATGTACCGATTATTTCAGCAGATTATTCAATCCTTACATGGTTCTTCTCGGTTCCTAAATCCCACCAGCTTCTCCTTTCAAGTACAGGGTTACTGTGCTATTAAACCCTTGTCATTAGCTTTGCATTTTTATATAACAAGCCCCAATATGACAAGCCCCCTTTCCTGTCAGATACTCATATACTCAAACACATGTATAACAGGTTGAAAGTGTTACAGTAGATAACTTGTGAAAATATTTCTATGGATGTTTCTATAATTAAAACAGTTTTGGAGATATCTTAGACTGAAAAAAAATTTTAGGCAAAAAAGCATTACATGAAAAAATGCAAATATTTTGTGTTTGTGTCTCTGTGTATGTTTTCATGTCCAACAGACAACTAAATGGCATCAAAACACTGTCATATATTGATCAAGATGCTTTTAAGAATCTGCCTAATTTAAAATATCTGTAAGTATGATTTTATTTGTTTATTTATATTATGACTGTATTGTTTGTTTTCCAAATAAGCAACATAAAAGTTATGTACATTTATTGATTCTTGACTCAGCTTTCTTTTAATACAGTGGGATCACAAACACAGGTCTCACCACCTTTCCTGGGCTACAGCATATTCACTCCAGCCAAGACCATTTTATATTGTATGTAGCATTTAGTCATAAATATTCTGCTGCACATTCCTCTAATAATTTGACTTGAAGCCTTTGTGTGTGTGTTTGCTCCTTTTTAACAGAGAGATGGTGGAGAATGTTTTTATCCAAGTCATACCTGCTAATTCCTTTACTGGAATATCTCTGAATACTTTGACTATGTGAGTTTAATTTAATGTCAATGACTAATAATGCAACACATTTTATCTCTTAATTTGCCATGTTAATGGAGCTTGGTGATGACTCTTCATACTTGCTGGCATATGGTTATTGGTTAGGTCTAGAAAGACGGTCATGGTTTGGGATAAAATTCCTTCCTTCCTTCCTTCCTTCTGTCCATGAGACGTTATCACTTCAACCTCCTCAAAGCATGGAAAGAGGCTCAAACTGTTTCTCTGGTGAGCTATAGTGATGGAAAGAGATGAGTTGGGGCTGGAGGTGCTAAATTCAACCATTCCCACCTCCCTCCATTGTGATGACCACCTCACAGAGGCCAAGAGAGTGGATATTACTGCATTGCAACAGTGTTTTGCAGATTTGTTCTCCCCAGTAGCAGCTCGCTCATAGGGCACCATTTTGAAACAGTTCCTCAGATGGATAAGACAGCACCCATCGCATCCTGCCTGCCTCCCATGACCAACAAAAAGGGCAGTTCTTGGGGCTGGCTGGTTATTGCCACTTGTTTATCCTGAACTTTGTGGATCTGACCAGCCCCTTGAAGGATCTCCTTCCAGTGGACGGAGCAGTGCCAGGTGGCATTTGTACAGGTGAAGAAGGCTCTCTGTGAGGAACCCCTGCTTCACACTCCTGACTTTTCCCTCCCCTTTGGTTTTGCAGACCCACGCCTCAAACTGAGGGCTGGGGACTGTTTGTCACAGCAACTGTAAATAGACTGGTACTTCATGAGTAAATGAGTAATTGGAACACTTTTTACTCTAAGCTTTTTTTCATCCAATCAAACAGACAAACATACAGCAATTGTTTTCTATGACTTCTATGACTAAGTGTTTTGTCAAACAGCGGCACACACTCCCACTCAGCTGAATGTTTCAAGGACAACTGGGGGTTCAGTATCTTGCCCAAAGATGCAGACTGGAGGAGTTACCACACCTGACCAGAGATTGTAGCCCAGTATATTTGAGAACTCTACCAACTACAATACTTTTGGTTATACGCCTTATGTTAAAGATGCAGGTTTGCACATCAGTCATATCTTGATGGCTTGATTTAAAATCGTTTTCCAATATGCATACCCTGCAGATTATGACAACAGAATGTATTTAATGTCGTTTCCAATGGCATACATGTCAGTGTGAAACATAGAGATGGAACTAACGTTTAACAACAAATTTAATTATGAAGATTTAAGATTTACAGGGTTTTCTTCCCCTTTTTTAGTGTGCTGAATAGCAATGGTGTGAAAGAGATCCAGGACTATGCTTTCAATGGAACCAAACTGGAGGAAGTGTATGAACTTTTGATTTATTCACTAAACTGATAGGACACAAGATTCAATTCACATCTTGTATTTATTTATTTCTTGTCTATATAGTTTGTGTCTGAACTTTACTAACGTGCTTGATAGATGGGGTAAGTCATAGGTAGATTATAGCCTCAAGTGAACAAGCAATTTTAATGACTAAAATTTCTGGGCAGGGTCAAATAATGTTGGCCCCTTTGGTAGTTGTAGGTATACTGTTTCAGATACTTTAAAATGTTCTAATGTCATTGATTATGGTTTTCAATCTTTTTTTTGTTGTTGTTTAATTCAAAATGGACATGAAACATTGTACAACAGTTCATTTCTTTGTTATTCTTGTCAGTTTCATTTTACTAAACACACTTTTCAGAAAAAAATACATTTTAAAACTGAAGGTTTGGTAAAACTAAATAGTTTTTATCATGTCATTTTGTTCCCCATCTTTTCCCAAATATTCAGGTATCTTGATAGGAATTTGGATTTAGAACAAATAGAGGAATTTGCATTTTATGGTGTGATTCAAGGCCCAACTCACCTGTGAGTACAGAATTCACAAAAGACAAAGTGTTCTTGACAAAAATCTCTCTCTCTCTCTCTCTCTCGCTCTTTTATTCTCTCTCCCACCCTTCCTTTATATAAAGACAGAAAGACAGAGAGAGAGAGAGAGAGAGAGAGCTCTGTAGCCCAATGAATTAATTCTTAACTATTTTTCTGTCAATCCAGAGATCTTTCAGATACCAAAGTACACTCTTTACCATCAAAAGGTATGAAGAACATTGAAAAGCTCCAAGCTAAAAACACATGGGCCTTAAAAATGCTGCCCCCCTTAAGAGCTTTTGTTCACTTACAAAGCGCTGAATTGACCTTCCCAAGCCATTGCTGTGGTCTTAAAATGCTGAAAAGAGGGCAAGGGTAAGTCTTGGGAAAATATTCCCTGTTTTTCTTTTACTTGTGTACTCTCCTTTCTCCTTTCTGTTGTAATGTCCATAGTATTAGGCCTTGGTTATTCTCAAAAGCTGTAACTAGCTACTAGCTAAAAATTTTAGTGTATGAAAAAATAGTTACTTAGAACATGGCAATAATTTAGCATTTAAACATTTGACAGTTGAAAAAAGATGCACTGTAGATTGCAGCTTTTGTTTTGTCTGTTTCCATCTTTAGCCAAACATTACACAGAATTTATACTGACTTAACATTCACTATGCTGTCCTATATAACCTGCTCAATGACTGCTATAAATTTACAGAAACAAAAAAGTGAGCTAACAGTAACATCAAACCCTACATAAGGTCATAACAACTTGCAATGTGTGTTGTTTATATATTGTTGTGATTAATTGCTGTTTTTTGACTGTTGCGATTGCTATCACAATGTGGTTATAATACTACATATTATGTTATACTTTTTAAGACTATTTTAGTCTTTAGGTGGAAACTATTGTCGAGTACTGTCTGTATCTCAGACAAGATCCAACACTCTGACATCACAAAGTGACAAGTGAAAACCATTATGGGTTTTTACTTTTTACACTTTGCATCACATGTAGTAATTCATGGTGTAATAAACACATTTCCAAAAAAGGAAAAAAAATATTATTTGCAAATTTACATTCTATTTAAAATAGTGCAAAGACAACATAATAAATGTTCATATTGATACACTAATTATAACTTTAAATGTAATACAACAGCAAGTTTAAATTAAAGTGAGTTAGAAAAAAAATTGGAAAAGTTGCATAATGACAAAAATCAGGCTTTATTTCAAATTCATTGCATGACTTCCACATCAGAAACTCAAAAGAAATCACGGACATCACATCCTCTGGCTTAAGAGGAGAGGGACATGTTATTAGGGCACAGTTTAAAAGTCAACATCTATGGGGTTCATTAATGTACATATCTTGTACATCTCCATTAATGTTGAGTGTGGCTTTGGAGAAACACATGTTTATTTGAATGATAGCCAAACCAAATTCTGAATGTATAACAACAGTCCAGAGTAAAGCATGTAGGTGCTAACTTGACCTGCCTGTGTTCCAAACCTCTTAACAATTCAAAAGCTATTTTATGAAATAGAAAAATATGACAAAAATCACAGGAATAGTTAATGTAATGTGTTCTTAAAATAAGAGATAATGAAACTCAGTGGTAAACATAGACTATGTCCTAACTGTTTTAATAGTAACAAAAAAAAGCACATATGGTCACTTGCCTTTGCATTTTTAATTAAAAATAGGCTTTAAATGATTTGAAGATTATTGCATTGTTTTTATTTACAATTTAAATGTGGTTAAACAACAACCCACTTTCGTCACAAAATTTGTATTTGAAAATATGCTTGTAATTCATTCCCTGAAAAATAACTCTTTTCATTTCTGTGCAAGACACTCTGAGGCAGTTATCTGCAACCTGACATGGGCTACTTCAGGAAAGCTGCAGCTGTCTTCTGCAATGCTCCCTCAGAGGTATCTGGAGTACAACATCTCACAACATCTGAAATCTAAAAAGTTTGGTATTCCAACTCATGGCAGTGCAAATAGCAATCCCAACAGACTGATTTGCCCAACCAAGAAGTCTCAGGATGATACTTTGTTCTATGTAACATATTCAGAGCATCTCAGTGAAGTTTTTGACTTTTCGCTGTGTAATGAACTTGACGCAGATGATGGACCCTCATGCACCCCCCTGCCTGATGCTTTGAACCCCTGCGAAGATGTGATGAGTAAAGACATCCTCAGGATATTGGTCTGGGTCGTCAGTTTATTTGCCATTTCAGCAAACCTATTGGTGCTCTTCATCCTGTTGACCAGTCGACAGAAAATGTCTGTTACCCGTTTTCTTATAGGTCACCTGGCATTTGCAGATTGCTGTATGGGGTTCTACTTGCTGGTCATTGCATTTGTGGATTTCTACACACGCTCCAATTATCATCACTATGCGATTACCTGGCAAACAGGAAGTGGCTGCAATATAGTAGGAATATTATCTGTGTTTGCCAGTGAGTTGTCTGTGTTCACATTAACTCTAATCAGTCTTCAGCGCTGGAATGGCATCTTCTCAGCTATCAGGCCAGACAGAAAAATGAGGTTGCGTCATGCATCTGTGCTAATGCTTGTTGGCTGGTTGTTGTGTGCGTTTCTTGCACTGCTGCCAGTAGTTGGTGTGAGCAGTTACCAGAAAGTAAGCATCTGCTTACCTATAGACACTGGGACAACTGCTGCACGGACATACATTATTTCTGTCTTGATTGTTAATGTCACTGCTTTTATGGTAGTATGCTTATGTTACATCCACATCTATTTTATGGTACACAATCCCAATCATAACTCCAGCAGATACGACGCGAGCATGGCCAAACGTATGGCTGTTATTATTTTCACCAACTTTTTATGTCTGGCTCCCATTTGTTTCTACGGCCTGTCTGCAGCTTTCCACCACCCGATGATAACTGTCACAGATTCCAAGGTATAACTTTACATACTTGTAATATTTAATGCACCCCCCCCCCCTCCCTCCCTCATTTATAATAAGGGTTATGTCTTTTTCTCAACAGGTGCTGCTGGTTCTTTTCTATCCTCTCAACTCTTGCACCAACCCATTTTTTTATGCTATCTTGACAAAGGCATTTCACAGAGATATCCTGATGATGCTGAGTCAGATGGGTCTTTGTCAACGGCAAGCACACCTCTATCGAAGCCAACTAGTCAGTATTACTCCCTACATATAAAGAAAATGTCTACCCCAAAGCCCAGCATCCATATCCCAAAACAAATAAGACTCAAAAAACAAAAAGTGGCTTTTTAAATTTGATTAATGTCCATTTCTTATAGTAATAGTCATAAATGGTTACATATTCACAGACCTGATCAATCAAAAGTGTACTATGTCACCTAAACGGAGAAGTAACCATGAGGTTGAATTTCAATATTTAACGTATATGTCTTTGATGCGGTTACAAATAAATAAATAATGTCTGAACATTATACTATTCCAGCCATAAGGTGGAATAAGAAAACAGAACAGTTCAAATCACGAGAAAACAAACATTGCATTTTCTATTTTCTATTCGTTTTTAGAACCAGGTAACAAACCTTGGTCCATATGGGATTTAAAAATATCAACCAAAGGGGAAAAATATCTAAACAATGGGAAATGTAAAGAGCAGGTTTATCCTAACTTTTTGTGATCTACCATTTATTCTAAACATTCTAAACTGCTAATTTAAACGAACAGCAAGTGAGACCCAGGTAGGCTGCAGATTGTTGGTTGTTCTGTATAATTAACTGCTCTTTTCTCTGTAAAAAAAAAAAAGGCTACTTATTAGATTGTTTTCAGGGTAAGAAGCATAAAAAAAATTAAAACAATGTCTTGTTCACTGATAAAGCCACTGACAAGCCATTATGATCCACTGTAGCAGACTAATTCAACCTCTAATAAATCTATTTATAATCAAATTGGATCCTTGCCATTAGTATATGTAAATAACTAAAATGAAATAAAATAGCTCCATTTGGGACCACATCTTATCTGTTCATCTGGACATAGCACTTACACATCCTGGATAGTGAGACACACTGGTTTGAGTGTGGAGTCAAGGAGGCTATTTATGTGAAAAAGGTAAAGTCATTGGTCCGGGTCTTTGATCATTGGATGTTGATCAATGTGGCAGGGGTTTGGGACTGCTGCTCTACAGCATATCTCTAAACCCAGCACTGTCTCGTACCATGCTGCTGTAGACTGATTTGTAAACCTTCAAAACATCAAAAGCTGAAGGGCGGTCGGTGGGATCCTTCTTCTTGCACTTCTCATGGATCTGAAAAAGATGGAAATGGACTAAATCCCCACCAGGCACCTTTCCCATAAGGAACCACGTCACATCTGGGATCTTCCAAATATCGGTCTTCTCATCATACTCTGGCATGAGATTGTCTGAAAATGGCTTTCCATTGTTTCTGAATGGCCATAGCTGCTCTGGGGCAACAAAATCTCCAGTGAGCTCCCGATGGCCACATTTCACTGACAAGTTTCTGGACATATCCACTTCAGGAAGTGCATCAAGGTCATTCACTACTAGATGAAAGTCATTTGTCAGTAGAAATTGGGACAGAGTTTTCTCAAGGCTGTTTGAATCGCACATAACTCGTCGCCCAACTGGGCTGTTATGAAGGTAATGGAGGATGGTGACGTAATCTATAGCTAGCCTCAGCCGCATCTCCCAATTGTTGTGTTGCTGGTAATGCTCTTTTTCAAGAACATCATCCAGATTAAGCAATGAGCCAAACGGGTGGTGTTCTGTCAAAATGATGTGCTCTTCAAGGCAAAACCCCACCAATTGAACCACCTGGGGGCTCTGCAGGGCCTGTAACATTGACAATCCATGGAGAAAATCCTCCAAGTAATTGAGAGATGATAGCCTTGACAGAGCTACCTTCTGGCCTCTCCACTCTGCCAAATAAACCTGAGGAAAGAAAACAAAATAGATGAGATTCACAAGGTCTACTGACTGTTGCCAATGATAAAAATTAATATTTTTAACAAAATCTGTATTTTTAACTGTACAAATCTGCCATGTATTACTTTATGACATAATCAATTATTTTAGCTTTATTTATGCTTTTTTTTCTTCTTCTTTTTGTATGTCCCGTCTGACACTGTAGCAATTAGAATCAGAGTTATTGTCTAAAGGCCAAGAAAAATGCCCAACAGATTTATTTTACCAAGTAGACCATTACGGCTTTTGCTATACTGGTCCACTTGAATGTCATATTTCATTCAATCTTATTATTATTATCATCAATTTTATTTTATTTAAATACAATAAAATCAAATATCAGCTCCCCTGTTGACCCCCATAGTCACCCTCATTCCCCAGAAGCCATCAAAAGCAGGGGGCCCAGGCGACTCAGACACGGGCCCACAGCAGTAGCACCACCACAGAGCATGGGGCGACCCCCCCCCGACTCCACTGCAGAGGTAAATTACACCCACTCTGGCATTTAGTGAATTCAGTAAAAGACTACATGAGACAATAGACATCCAGGTTGAGTTCATCGTCCACCTCTGCACCTCATCAAGAGGCACTCTCAAGCGCTCAAGAGAGATTTTTTTTTCATGGCAACGAATGTGAATGTTACAATTAAGTTACAAGCAATTTGCCCTAAAACTTTCTTTTTTGAACATTAAACAATGTGGGATCTGTATAACATCAGCGTACTTTGTATTTTGTTGTGACATGTTGTCCAGTGTCACAACTATGATAAGTTGCTAAAGTTACAATGGGAAATTAACATGGAATCTCTTGACATTACATTTATTTGATACACATACAAACTTAGCCAATACACACACACACATATACATATATATAAAAATCTGTCTACCTTCTTCACTGCTCCCTGGTCAATCAGCTTCAGCTCGTGTACTTCAGCATTTATTTGTAAACACTGGAGCCAGGCGGTGCAGTCTTTCATGGTTGGCATTTTAAAGTGTTGAGGCACACAGCCCACCAGAGGTGAAACTTGCTGCAAACCAGGCTGATACACAGAGTCCAGATAGAGGTAAATGAAGATATTGGTAAGAAGGAAAGCAGCAGCACATATTCCAACTACTGGAACAATGTAGGCCACAGTAGTCCTGCTGCACTGACCCACTGTGCCCTGCATCTAAAATAAAAAGAGGAATGACAAAAGGGATATTGTAAGTGTACTAATTACAGCTACAGATATTAAAGAGTAGGACAACACGAGGCTGAAAAGCAGTATTTTCCTGCCTTACTCTCACACCCTTTGGCCACTGTGGTCAGAGGTATATTGTGTGGTCAGCTGTACCTGCTGTGTAGCCTTAACAATGGTGTGTGGTGGTCCTGTGTACCACAGAACCACCACACCACCATCCTGGTTAAAGTAGTAAATGATGGAAAATAGTTTTTCTTTAAAGATTTTCGGGAAAATATCCACTAGCCTTTCTATTTTCTTATTCTCCCAGTATTAACAAATGTAACGAAGTAACAAATTACTTACTAGTGATGTTCGATTTGTGAACGAATCGTTCAAAACTCGAGAATCACTTTACTGACTCGTGAATCATGACGCACAAGCCCAACTGACTCACTGACTCATCCCTGTTTCTGTTAGCAAACTAATTCGCTTAGTAGAAATATATCTAGCTTATAATTAAAATTGCGGGGGGGAACAACAGCCAGTTTCTTAACAAAAGCATTTCTGCTCTGAACTGGAAGAAAAAACCCTGAGTAGAAGCTCAAATCAAGAAAATAGCTCCTCGGTTCACAGTAGCATCGCTCTGCTAACATGCTAACAACACATTTGAGCTACTCACCCCCTCCCTTCCTGTGTTGAATCGTAAGCGTAAGCAAATCACTCAGGACTCGCTCACCCCCTCCCTCCTGTGCTGAATCGTAAGCGAATCACTCAGGACTCACTAACCCCCTCCCTCCCGTGCTGAATCGTAAGCTTAAGCGAATCACTCAGGACTCGCTCACCCCCTCCCTCCTGTGCTGAATTGTAAGCTTAAGCGAATCACTCAGGACTCGCTCACCCCCTCCCTCCTGTGCTGAATCATAGAGCGAGGGAACTAATCACTCACTCACTCACCCCCTCCCTCCTGGCTCACAGCTTCTTCTTCTTGGTTGGCAACCAATGTTAAGGCGCATTACCGCCCCCTGGCTCACAGCTCAGTGGACATTTAGATGAGAAAATATATATTTAACACATTTAAGGAAAATACTAATAAAAAAACAAAAACAATGTTTATTAAGCAATTTTGATAGGAAATTGCTTAATTTTAGAAATGTTTTTGCTCTTTTTTGCTCTATAAAATAGTTGATTTTTTTTTTAGAATCATTCATCTTAGCAGTGGGATTTACATGAAAAGAGAAACAAATTAAGTTTGAGTGAAAATGTAAATTTTTTGCACTCTCTGGTCAACTGACTCAGTGAATCAAATGACTCAAAAAATCCGATTCACTTTGGTGAGTGACTCATTAAAACTCGATTCAGTAAAAAGAATCAAATTTACCATCACTATTACTTACTTTAAAATGGTGAACACACCTTCATTCATTTTGGTGTGCTCAACTTTATTACTGGGAATAAATCCAAAACAAATCTATGCCAGGGATAGAGGTAATGTTCTTGATAACTGTACATCTACTTTTGTGCCAGCCACTCACAGTCACTATTTTTCAAATCTCAGCTGTGTTTCATCATGAGTGACTGGCTGTCCCTGTCAATTCCTGTCATGTCTTAAAACCAGTGATGGGAATAACGGCGTTACAAGTAACGGCGTTACTAACGGCGTTACGTTTTTCAGTAACGAGTAATCTAACTAATTACTATTCTTATCGTTACAATGCCGTTACAGTCACTAACAAAAAAATGCGGTCCGTTACTATTTTTCAACAAACAAACGGTTGAAGCTGTGTTTAGCTTACCGCATCTTATATCAGTTGCACGGAAGTAGCTGACTACGTAAGCAGAGATGAGCAGTAACGCGTTATGGTAATCTGATTACTTTTTTCGAGTAACGAGTAAAGTAAGGGATTACTATTGCAAAAACGGTAATTAGATT